CACTCTCCTATGCTTCCTGGGCTGCATCCTTGACCTTGACCCAAATAAACTCTCTGTTTTTTTTTTTTTTTTTTTGGTTGGAGTCTCACTCTGTCGCCCAGACTGGAGTGCAGTGGCCGCTTCTGGCCACTGCAGCCTCGACCTGCTGGGCTCCGGAGATCCTTCCGCCTCAGCCTTGCTAACTCTCTGTTAATTTTGCCTTGGTTTCTTACTTTAGGGTGACAACCCTCGGGGCTGCCCTGCTGACAGGATGTGATTCAAGGGCATGAGGAAAGAAGCCCAAACCAACTCTCTTAGGAATCAGTCTCAAAGCTTCTACTGTCGGAGAGACACTCTCAGTTTCATACCTTTCCTGGCATGGTGGCTTATGCCTGTAATCCCAACACTTTGGGAGGCAGAGGCGAGAGGATTGCTAGAGTTCAGGGTTTCGACACCAGCCTGGGCAACTTGGCAAGTCCTTGTCTCTATAATAAATTAAAAAATCAACTAGGCATGGTGGTGCATGCCTGTAGTTCCAGCTACTTGGAAGGCTGAGGTGGAAGGATCACCTGAGCCCAGCAGGTCGAGGCTGTGGTGGCCTTGAGAGTGCCACTGCACTCCAGGCTGGTAGACAAAGTGAGACTCCAACTGAAAAAAAAAAGACTTTTTCTTGTCAAGGATTTCCAGTCAGAGTACAAATGTCTTTGGGAAACTTAGCTCTTCTGATGAAGTGCCAAAACTTTTTTTTTTTGAGTTGGAGTCTGACTCCGTCACCCAGGTTGGAGTGCAGTGGCACACTCACAGTCACCACATCCTGGACCTGCTGGGCTCAGGAGATCCTTTCGCCTCAGCCTTCCAAGTAGATGGAACCACAAGCATACACCATCATGCCCGGCTGATTTTTTTATTTATTGTAGAAACGAGATCTCACCAAGTTGCCCAGGCTGGTCTCAAATCCCTGGGCTCGGCCTCCCAAAGTGCTGGGATTATAGGTGTGAGCCACTGCACCCAGTGAAGTATCAATACTTTAATCGAAGTCACTTGATCACAGAGTTGAACTCAAAGTCTCCCAAACAGGCAGTGAGTGGAGAGATACATATCTTAACACGCTAGGGCCAGCAGTGCCTGAGGTCATGTCTTAACTGCTGTGGTGGTTGGTAGCACAGCTTCTGGAGCCCAAGAGTATGGCATTGAAGCCCGGCTCTGCTGGGCTGTGTGGCCTTGGGCAACTCACTGAACTTCTCTGTGTCTCGACTCCTTTTTCTTTAAAATGGGGCTAATGATAGTCCCTTCCTCGTAGGACTGATGAGAGGAATAAACACATTCATATAGGTGGAACACCCAGAGCCATGCCTGGTCTATAGCAAGTGTTCTGCACAATTAACTCACCTACTAATACTAACGAGTAGCAGTGAGAACAGGGAGCACAGATGGGAAGTCACTTGCTCCAGGACACTAAAGTAGGTGGCGGTGGAGTCACTCACAAAAATATGCCTTCGTTTTCCAAAACAGTCTGGCATCCTTTTTTGTGAGGGGGGCTTTATTCAACAATTCTTATATAGCTGTAAAATGATTTCTTGTATCCTTTTTCCCTCCCCTAATTCATTTTGTGTTTTTCTTTCAGGTCAAGAATTTTTCTTCCTGGCAGTCTTTTCTTTCCTCATATGAGAAAAGCAAAGACCAGTGAGGCCACAGTCACACAGTCATGCAGCTACCAAGGGACAGAGAACCAGGTCCCACCTTCTGCTAGGCATCCTCTCCACCAAACCATGAAGTCTCTGTAGCCCTTGCCTGCCCCTCTTTTCTTCCTGGCTCCTAAATCCCCTCTGGTTTCCCAGATTCTTACAAACTATTGGAATCGTTCTGTCTGAAATGTCCCAGAGAGTCCAGTGTGTGCCCAGGCCTTCTTCCTAGGGGGCAGGCTGCCCTCAGGAAGGGGGCCCCGACTCTCCCACCTGGCCGGGCAGGAGGGTCCCTTCCCCAGAGATCTGGCCACAGGCAGTGGAGACTGGAGATCAGCCCACGCCATCTGCACATGGCCATTTGCACCCCTTCCTTCCACAGTGTGTTCCAGGGCTTCTGCGGGGACAGTCCCATTCCTTTCTGCAGGGTACTGGGGAATCTGGAGGGGGTGTATTTCTCTTTGAAACACAGATCAGGACCTCCTCGACCCCAAAACATCTAAGTCCTCACCACCTCAGTTTCTTTTCTATAAAATAGAAGTGATAAAATTTGATTTGTCTAACACTTAGTTGTGAGACTCAGCCAGGAGCGGCAGCTCACGCGTAATCCCAGTGCTTTGGGAGGCCAAGGTGGGAGGACCACTTGAGAGCAGGAGTTTAATAACCTGAGGAACACAGTGAGACCCCGTCTCACACACACACAAAAGAATTCCCTAGTTGTGAGACTCAAGCAAGATAACTCAAGCAAGATAACTCAAACCCTTAGCAGTGCTTCTCCATTGGGGGGTGGGGGGTGGTTCTGCCCTCCAGAGGACTCTTGGTTGTCACATCTGGGGGAAGATACTACTGGCATCTAGTGGGTGGAGGCCAGGGTTCCCACCAAACATCATATAGCAGACAAGACAGCCCCTACAGCAAAGAATTATCCAGTCGGCACAGTGTCTCACCCTGCAATCCCAGCACACTGGAAGGCTGGGACAAGAGGATAACTTGAGGCCAGGAGTTCGAAACTATCCTGGACAACATAGCGAGACCCCCATCTCTGCAAAAATTAAAATTAGTTAATAATAACAGAAAAAGAAGTATCCAGCAACAAATGTCAATAGTGCCGAAGTGGAGAAACCCAGTTCTAAAAGATGATGGGAAGGTAACAACATTTATGGGGAAATTCACTATGTCCCAGGCATTTCACCTGCGTTAGCACATGTCATTGTTCCAGCACCCTCTGAAGGTTACTATGGTTACTACTGCCCTTTTACAGATGAGAAAATTGAGGCACAGAAGTGTTTAAGAACTTGCCCAAGTCCCACAGCTGGACTAGGATGGAGCAAGAACGAAACCTCCAGGCTTCTCCCTCCCAGACCCACTCCTAATCAATACGTGACAGAGTGTGTTTCTGGTCCACCTGTGGGGAGGGTCTTCCCTCCATGCCCAAATAAATAATATTTTGCACAAATGTGCACGACCCTTCCCTACTCCAAACATTAAGCAGACGCTACTATCATGAAAATGATGCACATTCTTTGAAAGTGTTAATACATTCATGTTACTTTTCTGTCATTCTGCATTTTCCTCAATCAAGGGAATCGAAAAAGTCAATTGCAATGATTGCATATTGGGGGGGTTCACAAAAGTCCTTTGTCTCTTAAAAAAAGGGGGGGTTCGAGGCCAGCCTGGGCAACTTGGTGAGATCTCGTCTCTACAGTAAATCAGAAAATTAGCCTGATGTGATGGTGCATGCCTGTTAGTTCCATCTACTTGGAAGGCTGAGGTGGAAGGATTGCCTGAGCCCAGCAGGTCGATGCTACGGTGGCCATGAGTGTGCCACTGCACTTCAGCTTGGGCGACAATTTGAGACTCCAACTCCAACTCCAAAAAAAAAAAAGAAGTGCACCACCTAAAAGGTGACAGACTGGAACTAAATTCAAATCTAGAACCACTTTTTCTGAATTTATCTTGCCTTCTTGCAGCTCAACTGTGTTACTAACTGGAAAAAGTTATTTAAATGCTCTGAAGCAGCCGGACTCGGTGGCTCAGCCTGTAATCCCATGCCTTGGGAGGCTAAGGTGAGTGGATTGTCTGAGCCCACGGGTTCGAGACCCGCCTGGGCAACTTGGTGAGACCTCATCTCTACAATAAATCAAAAAATTGGCTGGGTGTGGTAGCGCACGCCTGTAATTCCAGCTAGTTGGAAGGCTGAAGCGGAAGGATCCCCGGAGCCCCAGCAAGTCGAGGCTGCAGTGGCCGGGAGAGGCCACTGCATTCCAGTCTGGGCGACAGAGTAAGACTCCAACTCAATAAATAAATAAATAAATAACTGCTCTGAAGCTACAATCAAAACAGAAAAAGACAAATGTCACCAAATATATAAAGGATTTTGTAGCCAACATATTTGGCTGAAGTTGGGACAAAGGAATGCTTTGAATCTCTTCAATTTGGTGGCAGGTACTTTTAGGGACTGTTCCTGTGGGATCATTCCCAAAGAGTACTTGTCTCTAAACCTCTACTCCACTCCCCGTAGAAATCCAACCGCCAGCCAGGCACAGTGGCTCATGTCTGTAATCCTAGCACTTTGGGAGGTGGAGGCAAGCGGGTTACCTGAGTCCAGGGGTTCGAGACCAGACTGGGCATCATGGTGAGACCTAGTCATTATAATAAATCAAAAAATTATCCAGGCATGATGGTGCATGCCTGAGGTTCCAACTACTTGGAAGGCTGAAGCGGAAGGATCACCTGAGCCCAGCAGGTCGAGGATGCAGTGGCCGTGAGCGTGCCATTGCACTCCAGCCTGGGCAACAGAATGAGACTCCAACTCACACGCACACACAAAAGTCCAGCTGCTAGCCAGTCTCGGTGGATCACACCTGCAATCCCAGCATATTGAGAGGCTGAGGTGGAAAGATCGCTGGAGCACAGGAGTTTGAGACCAGCCTGGACAAAACAGTGAGACCCTAACTCTACAAAAAATAAAAATTAACCAGTCATGGTGGTAAGTGCCTGTGGTGGGATCTTGGCGGGTCTGGAATAGACATCCCTCTCTGTGTCCTCAGTACTTAGGAGGAGGCTGAGGTGGGAGGATCTCTTGAGCCCAGGAGTTTGAGGCAGTAGTGAGCTATGATCATACCATTGTACTGCAGCCTGGGCAACAGAACAAGACCCTGTCTCCAAAAAAAAAAAAAAAAAAAAGTCCAGTTGTTTGCTGGGTGAATTCTAAAGGGCAGGTCACCCCAAATTATCCCCCCAGCAGAGTTCCCTCTGCAACACCCAAGTCCTGGTGACTCCCCAGGACAGCTGGGGTTGCTCTTGGCCCCTTCCCTGGGCAGCACTCGCCACACTCACCCCTTCTTTCTTGCTCTGATCCTGCTGCTCCATCTGTGCCCTGGAAGAGCAGAGCACTGCTGGCTTCTTTTTAGCCAAAGGAACACAGGCACTGGATGGAGAGAAAAGACATTCTGGGTGCACTTTGTCCACACCAAATCACAGCCAATTGCATTTTTACAGCCAGTCTAAGCCAAAATAACCCTTTCAGGAACCTCATCTCCCTTTCACTTCTGCTTTTAAATGAAATGTCTGGGTTTGGCCCAGCAAGTGGGTGCCTGCTGGAGGCTGGGGACACTGCATTGTCCTGAGGGGAAGAGTCTGCAGCATTTCCTCATTGCTAAATCTCCAGCTGTCAGGCTGGTGGAGAGTGACTGGCAGGGTTATTTCTGTCGGGAACGCGTGGAAAGCAACAGCTGTCACCTACCCCCCACAACAACACAGGGTAATACAAGGGCAACAGATTGGGTCACTAGAGACTTCGTAGGAGCAGTCCCTGCCTGCAGTCGAGTTTCTCTAATGGGGAGTGGGGGACTTTTGCCCATGTCCCACTTTCCAGGGAGAGTTTATTTTCCTTTTTAAAGAACCGAGGAGCCAAGAGATGTTTCTTTCTGTGCGCTTATCACTACTGGGAAGGTAGTAAATCCCTGAACCCCTTGTCTGGCAGGGTAGAGAAAGTGAGCTGCTGGTGTGGGTCCAGCCATCCCACCACCAGGCCCCTCAGCACGTGTACAGCCACCACAAGGCACGCCGGGGCAAGTGCCCAAGATCCAAAGTCTCACAAGTCCCGCAGATTTTCATCTTTACAGGACATACTCCCTGTTTTATTTGCTATGGCAGAAATCCAGTTAATGTAGTGATTCATTCCTCTTGTTCACCTTGAAACACACAGGGGCCAGGAGCCCCCAAACCCTAGAAGCGTGACCAAGGTTTCTGGGCATGGGAGACAGAGAAGGATGACAGTGTAACAAACAGCCTGTGTGTCGGGGACAGGGGTCCCCTCGTCATCAGCTTCACTGACGGTCCTTTTCTCTTCAGAATACCATCCCAATACAATGATCTGCAACTAAGGCGTAGCAAGGCCAGAGGTGTCCAACTATTTCAAAGATTTTTGTTAGGTCACACAAAAGCGAGGCTTCCAGAATGTTAGGTCAGACCTGCTGTGGGTGTGGGTGCCTGGTTTGCGATCTGGTGCCATAAGAAAGATGCAAATAGTCGGGCTCGGTGGCTCAGCCTGTAATCCCGCGGCTTTGGGAGGCTGAGGTGAGTGGATTGCCTGAGCCTGTGGGTTTGAGACCCACCTGGGTAACTTGGCAAGAACTCATCTCTACAATAAATCAAAAGTTAGCCGGGCGTGGTAGTGCGCGCCTGAGCTCCAGCTACTTGGAAGGCTGAGGCGGAAGGATCGCCGGAGCCCAGCAGGTCCAGGCTGCGGTGGCCGGGAGCGGCCATTGCACTCCAGTCTGGGTGACAGAGTGAGACTCCAACTCAAAAAAAAAAAAAAGAAAGAAAGATGCAAATAATTGCACAGAAGTTAGATTCGAAAGTATAGTTTATTTAGAAAGTAAATTAGAGAGAGAGAGAGAAAGAGGAGATTTACCTCCCCAAGGTAGAGGAGGGGGCCAAAGACAGAAAACATGGTGGCGGCCATCGCTCCAAGAGTGGGTGGCCACCCCAGAGTCTAGTAAAGCAATGGCGACTGACTGCTGTGGTTGAATGTTTTTAACCCTTTCCTTTGATGGGGGAGGGTCGTTAAGATGACAGGGTGGTGGCCTTCTCCACATCACCAGGAAGGAGCAGGAAAGCACAGATACTGATGTCAGGTGATGAGGGACAGCAGGCAGATGGGTGGGTTAGTCACATGGTTGCTGCCCTGGTCGGGGGGTCTGTCTGTGTCATGAAGGTCACAAAGCGCTGATAAGGTTAACCTGGGTCTTATGGGTGGTGGCAAATACTTGAAATAGGAAGGCGAATTAGTACAAAACAAGCTTGGGAGGGGGTTGTAAAACAATTATCAGTAGCTACCTCTGAGAAGCCAGTTCTGTCCTTGGCTAGTGATTAGAGGGGGTTGTAAAACAATCATCAGCAGCTACCTCTGAGAAGCCAGTTCTGTCCTTGGCTAGTGATTAGAGAGTAAAGTGAACTACTAGAAAAACATGAGATTTAGGCAGTGTTAAAATGGCTGCGCATTGGGTATATTAAATGCATGTCATGTCCTTTCAATTGTGAAAAATTCTCCAAAGAAACGCACTTTCATTGCCAGGAAGTCCACTATGGGGAGGGAGGGAGGGCGAAGGTGTGCCACTCCACAAAGAAAACCGTCTGAGTTCGTCATCATCAGTCACGCCGAGGGTCCAGATCGTCCACCCCGCCCCCCAAACAGAACTGCGGGTGATGG